CTGTGTCACAGGCTTGTATCACAGAAGGTTTATAAGGAAAGTGGATGGACAGACATTATCATGTCATTCAATTGATCATGGTGGTGTTTTCCAGGTGACAGAACAGGAACAGAACCTTCAGAAAGCATCTCTAGCAATATTGTCTTTTGGTTGATGTATTACCTGAGAATACTCCAAAGCCATGAACTGGAAAAAAAATATAAATGTTCCATTTGTAGCTGTAGAATTGGGTGAGAAGGCAACTAGTTGAAGCTCTGAATGTTCATAGTTGAAGATGTGATATTTACACATTCATGAACTGAAACTAGCAAAATCAATATTTTCACTTAGGAAAAACCTTTAATAAAAGGAGGAGAAGGAGTGGTTTTAGAGCTAAATTAGTGTATAGTGGGTTTTAGGAGTGTTTTGGGCCCTGTGAGTTTCTGTAACTACTTGCTACAGAAACTTTCAGGAGGGATTTCAACACAGTGCTCTATTGTGATGCCTCAGTTTTTACTCAGTAGAAAGTCATTCAAATATGATAGGGGAACATGTCTGTAAATTGAATATTGTACTAAAGAGATTTTCAAGCCAGTGAGAATCCAGTGTATTAATTATTTGAAGCAATTAATTAAGCAATACTTCCACTCAATTCTAAGCCTTCTCCTCATAATAACATATGCTAAGGAAATGTAAATTTATTAAGCTGAATGTCATTTAAGTCTCTTAGGCATCAGTACTTTTTCATATTTTTGATAAAAAAAGGATAAGAGGTCAGCAGGGAGGAAGTATGAGAATCCTGCCTACATCATCTCATCTTTCTCCTTTCATCTGGATGAGTTTGCCTCCCTGGAGCATGAAATAAGAAGTGGCAAGGAGGAATGAGAATGAGCTCCTGGGAGCAGCCCATGTACTGAACTAATTCTGAACTTCACGTGGGCAGAAGCCACTACCAGGGGCTTTCCCCACCACCACCTCCACCCACGGCTTTAGGGAAAGTTGCAAAATCCACAACAATCAATTTATTTTTTCCTTCCTACCTCCTTCTTACTCTCCCTCCCTCCTTCCTTCCTTGTTTCTTTCTTCCTGTTTTCTACTTTGCTAATTGTCAGCCTTCTGTGTCCATGAGTTCCACACACACAGATTTAATCAACCACAGATTGAAGATATTCAGGGAAAAAAAATTGCATCCTTACTGTACATGTCCAGATTCTTTCTTATTGCTATTCTCTAAGCAGCACAACTATTACAGAGCATTTGCACTGTATTAGGTACTATAAGTAATCTAGAGAGGAATTAAAGTATATGGGAGGTTGTGCATAGGTTTTATGCAAATACTATTTTTATGCAAATACTATCTATAGTATATAAAGGACTTGAGCATCCTTGGATTTTTAACCCCCTGCGGATACCAAGGGATGACTATATTTCCTTTACTTGTGATTTCTTGGTTCAACATATTCTGGGGGAGATATTTGAGAGCTAATTTCTCACATATCTAAGTTGATGCTTTTTCCCTCATTTCCCCATTTACTATGGAGTGAAGTAACTTGAATTAGCAATGCAGCACTCTCCATACTTCGCTTCAAGAATTCAAACTCTCTCATGGTGCTCTTATTCCATGGAAAACACATCTCAGTGGGCACAGGAAATCTCCCAAATTAGAACTGATCTAATAGAAAGAGTTCCATGATCAAAATTGTAGAAACTGCTAGAAAAATTAATATATCCATGAAAGGTAGCTATTATTAAAAGTATTTCTTGCTGCATGATTGTCCTCTTCTGCCATAATTCATTGGGTGTGGACTCTACTTTCTCTTCATTTCTCTTCTTTGGAGATTACAATCAACATTTGGTTTAAAGCATAGTTTTATAATGTTTGCTTTTAAAACTGCCAGGTGTTTGAGGGGTTCTTTCTGGATAGTGTTAATAGCCTTTTTATAGCAGATTAATCTTTATTTTTCTCCCTGACTAACTGATCAGTAAATTTGTTCACAAAAGTAGAAACAATGCCCATCTGTAAACATCCCTGAGAGCAGTGGGCATCACCAAAGCAGTGAACCTTCATGAAGATAATTCTATTCTGAGGATTGCTGATCTTTACCTCTTTATTAGTTGCTATAGTGATGATCTTAGCTCTGCTTAATAGCACTTTACTAAATTGAAGACAATCGATAAGCTTTTCCAGGCTAATATTTATATTGGTATTTTCTAATTACACATATCAAAATAAAATTGACCTATTTAAATGTGTACAATAGTGAAATTTCATTCTTAAAAACATGTCCCAATAGATGTTTTTAAAATAAAGCTAATGGCTGGGGTTGTAGCTCAGTGGCAGAGCACTTGCCTAGCATGTTTGAGGCACTGGGTTCTATCCTTAGCACCACATAAAAATAAACAGCAAACTTTAGAAGTTGCAAGAACCATGGTTAATGATTTGCAAAGCCGTGAGAGAACACTTTCAGCACCTACCAAAAAACTCTCAAGGCCAACTCTCCTCCTATGCATCTGTCCAACTTCTAATGCTTCCAGAGGAACACTGAAACCCCAGGAGGAGAGGTGGCAATCAAGTTCACTGAGTAGAAGAACCTGGATTATGTTGCTAAAGTTTACCTCACAGTTTTAAATCTTTGACTTACTGATAATATATACACTAACAATTTTTAGCATCATGATGAAAAGTCTATGAACATGTTTTTGAGGAATTTAAAACTTTCCCCCCTAGAATTATATATTTTCATATTTATAGGTTTTTTTTTGGGGGGGGGTGAGTGCTGGGGATTGAACTCAGGGGCACTTGGCTACTGAGCCACATCCCCAGCCCTATTTTAAATTTTGTTTAGAGATGGGGCCTCACTGAGTTGCTTAGTTTCTCAAGGTTGCTGAGGCTGGCTTTGAACTCATGATCCTCCTGCCTCAGCCTCCCAAGCCCCTGGGACTACAAGAATGTGCCACTGTGCCTGGCCATATTTATGTATTTTTTGGACACATTGTAAGTAAACTCCAAGTACTTAACGCAATAAGCTGTATAGCCTTGTCAATGAAAAAAAGGAAGTCTGAAAAACTGTGTAATCCTCAAGGCCCATGACCACAGTCATTTGTTTAGATTCTAAGGTACAGGGGTTATGCTGCTACTTTCCAGATATGGTCATGAGATTGACCCTCTCTGGCCTATAGAGAGTCAACTGAAGGTGGGGAGCAGTTCGGAGGGAGAAGGAGGCAGCCCACAATCTAGACATGCTTTTCTCTCCCAGAGACTGCATTCTCCTCCTGATGTTTGAGAACTTAAATATCCTCAATTTGATCCCATGTTCTATTGAATACATCTCATGGCTCATTAAAAACAAAAACCAATACCTCTCATGGTAGTATGTGGGGTTAGAAAAACTAATGCTGAGTCTGTCTTTAGTGAATAAAAAGGAAATGAAAGTGAGCCAGTTTCAAGTGTCAAAATAACTTTTGAAAAACACTGGAAATATCTGACATCATAGATTTTTTCATGGATCTTTTTCTAAATTGAAAAAAGATTTCAGTACGAGATGAAGTTTAAGTAGAAAATTGGCTATATGTTTTAAAATTAGCGTTGTAAATTTAAGTATATCCTTATGTTATTTGGTTTCAATGATCACATTCATTTTTCAAAAATATTTTTAGTTGTAGATGGACATAATAACTTTATGTATTTATTTTTATGTGGTTCTGAGGATCGAACTGGGTACTTCACACATGCTAAGCAAGTGTTCTACCACTGATCTACAACCCCAGCCCTCACATTCATTTTTCTAAAACAAAGTTTCATCCCTTCCTTATAAGGAACCATTCTGTCCTTTAAGAAAAATTTCTTGATCATCTACTATGTCAAGTCCTGTTGTAAACACTGGGCATGTGGTGGAACAATGCAGGCAAACTTCTTCCTTTCACAAAGCTTATATTGTTTACAGAAAATCAGATAATAAATAAACAAGTATGCAGCTCACCAGGTGGTGACCTGAGCCACAAAGTAAAGTAGGTCTAGAGAGTGAGTGGAGGAATAGGAAGAAGATGCTATTTCAGGAAGGATTCTCACCCAAGACACCAGTGCCTACCTTACTGGTTTTCTGTTGTTCATTCAAATAGTAACTACTCAGGGTGAAAGTTGGATCATATCTATTATTGCTCAAAACCCTGCAATAGCTTCTGCTTAAAATAGAATTCACAGCCCTTCTTTTAGCATATAAGGCCCCACATGAAGTTTCCCTGTCTTACCTCCCTGATCCCTTTCTTTCTTTCTCTCATTTACTGTACTCTAGGCACATATTATTCCTGAACACAGCACAAAGGCTCTCCATCTCAGGCCCATTACTCTAGCTTCTGGGTCTCTGCAACCCCTTTGGTCGCTGCTGCATTGTTTCGTTCACCTCCCCAGAGAAGCCTTCTATGACTACTCAGTCTAAAATGGCATCTTGACATCTTTGTCTCTTCCCTTCTTATTCATCTTCATTGCACTTATCCCTTCTTACCTTTGTGTTACATCTCTCTGTGCTTAGTTGTGTGTATGAGAAGAACATATGCACAGGAGAGCAGAGATTTGGCTCTTTACTCACCATTGTATCTGCAGCACCTGGAATAGTGGCAACACATTTGCAAGAGCTGGCTTATTATTTGTGGCATGCATGAATAAATGAATGTGCTCTAAGAATGGGCTGCTGAATAATAGGGAGGGAATGATAAACATAAAGGTGTCAAAGGCTTTGAAGTTTTAAACTTAAATGCTAATGGTTTTCCCTGGTCCCAATTCTGCCTCCCAGCATTACTGACAACTATTCCCTGCAGCAACCTAATCTTAACTCCCTTTCCAGGTCTTTGCTTGTATCAAAAAATCTTTGATAACAAACATAAGTGCATACTGTGTAGCTGCATAGCCTATGTATGAAATTTTGGTGTTTGCCTTTTCAGATTCTAAAGTATTTAAAATGGGTTGCCTCATTGTGGTATTCTCTCTCTCTCTTTTATTATTATTATTATTTTTTTAACTGCAGCATCACCAAATGCCCCAAGACTTGGACCCATGGAGCTGACCATTGTTATTACTATACCCATTTGCCTCCTGTCCATAGCTGCCATGCTGACAGTATGGGCATGCCAAGGGCGACCGTGCACGTACAGAAAGACAAAGAGACAGAACGTGGAGGAGCCACTCTCTGAGTGCAATCTGGTAAATGCTGGAAAAACCCTTAAAGATCTGATTTATGATGTGACTGCTTCTGGATCTGGCTCTGGTATGTGTCCATTGTCCATATTTTATAAGAAAACTCTTATTTAGAAATAAAAGATTTTTAAACAAAAAAATGCCCAAATATGAATTCCATCATCTAAAATGCTTGATGAGGTACATGATGAGCTCTGGTATAAAAGAGCTTTTGGCATTAAATGAAGAAAAAAATCTGTCCTGGCCCCAAAGCCTTCCCAATTGCCTTTTGTGCTTTATGTGTTCAGATTCTCATTTTCACGTTCTTTCAGAATTCATTTCTAAAGCAAGAAATCAATCTCTCTTCTCTCTTTTCTACCCTCTTCCCATATGGTGAATAATAATCACTACTGCTTTCCTGGTACTGTCTTATGGACACAGGAGAGTTATGGTTATCATATTTAAGGCAAAGGAGTCCTGGGAAAAAGAAGTTAGTTATGCACAGTAGTGTTCTTTGAGACTTCTGCTTATGGATAGGAAGGTCTTCAGAATCTGTAGGCACCCCCTGGAACGTGTGTGTGAAGTTAACAGGGAGCTCACCTGGAGTTAAATCAGCAGTATGTTCTGAAAGCATAGTAATGGGAGATTAAAGGGAGCGACACAGGATTCCTGTGCTGGCTTTTGATGCTTCAGGTTATATGACAACTCTTTTCCTCTTAAATGGACTCCAGAACCCCTGGTGAAACAATTTAAAGTGCTAGATGGTCTTATCGTGTAAATGAGTCTTTCTCATTGCACAAAGCATTTGAGGGTGATGTAGCAGATTTTCCCCATAGTAACAAACTCCCTAAAATCATAGGGCTTTTCCACCTTTCACGTTTAGTTTAAGAAATCCTGTCAGTATTCATCTTACAGAAATATGAGCAAGGGTGAACCCAGAAGAGCCAGATGACCGGAAGCCTCTACATCCCTTCTAACTTTGGGAGGATCATTAAGATTACTACCCCAGCAGATTTTAAGGAACTCACTGCCAATGGCCTTTTGGAGCATCTAGGCAGGTATAATTAATGGAAGCAGGTGACAACATCCATGTGAGCATCCATATTTAGCACAGAGGTGCCTTAGATTTATCGGAAAAAAAAAAGCATGATTATGGCATCCAGAGAGCAAGGATATTTTTACTGATTCTGGGAATAAGATTACCTGCCCACACCTGACCAAGGTCTAAATGTTTACATTATCACTGTACAAATTAAGTAGCATGTTTTCAAGGGAGGAAATTTTGAAAGAAAATCTTGAAAATGGAAAGTTTATTAAGCTGGAATCCGAATGAAATTATTGGATAGAAAGGCTGACATTCTTTCTTTAAAAGGAACACTCGTTAGAATTCTATATTCTTTCCTTCTGTCAATATTACATTTATTTTGAGGCCCACTATGTTCAGTTTTATGAAACTGGCAATATTTTAAGCAGAGCAGTCTGATTTGTGCCCAATGTCTCAAAACTTTAGCAATTTCTTAGTAAAATACAAATGATTAGATAGTCATCTATTTAATCTGCACTCAAACATTTCAGTTTATCTGAAGATGTTGGGTAGAAATTTCGTTTTGGAGCTACTCTTTAACCATGACTGAAATATTTTCTTTCAAATAAAAATAATATATAATTAAAAACTGGAGATTGGATATCTAGTTTAAGAAAGTAGTCATGAGCCAGGGCATAAAATTTAAAAAAAAAATCATTTTTTTTGTGGTGTCTTTAAATCTAGATCTCTATTTATTGACTTCCGGACTTTCTCCTTTTAGATACTTTAAGATATCTTGTGCAAATAAAGGAAGTGAATATACCCAAGCACAGATGATTTCTTTAAAAGCCAATTGAAGAAGTTTTAGGCATTTTTTAAAAAAATTTTTTAACCAAAGCCAGTTGCATATGTTTGGCAGTGACCACTGGCTAAAAGTAGTTGATAGTGTCTCTGCCTTTGATAATCAGAGACTGGGTCTACTCACTGCAAAACTTCTGCCATTAGAGGCCCCTGCTTCATAGGGAGATTCGGCAGTTCTGCTTCATCTCTGCTTTTCTTAATTGATCAGTGATTTTAAATGCAAGGCAGCTTCGTCAGCTGTTAAGAAACAAAAATTTGTGCATCTTGTCTCTGACCTGATAGACAAATTTTGAAGAGGTATATAATATCTTCAAGACAGAAAAATGTAGTGATGTTTTATTGAATCATCTTTGAGAGTAGATTATGTCTCAGGTGGATTCTAAGAAACTAGGTAGGTTGCTTCTTCTCTTTTGGTGTAACAATTCTGAAGGATGGTGACATAGGCAGGCATCAGCTTCTACAGTCTCTCCTAAGAAGATTAAAATGAATTTACAGTGAGAGCCTAGGTTCTTCAAGGGATATTTCTAGGTGCATAATAAGAGAACTGCTAAGATACATTTTAGTAGCTGTTTTGAAAGATAGGGAGTCAACTATAGTTTTTACTATCTCAAACTCATTGCCCTGCTGAACACCTTATATTATGTTGTCTTTGTCTCTGGTCTGCACCACGAATCATGTGTTTTATCAATCACAATATGAAAGCACTGGCTTATCAAATTCCCCATCCATTTGTTATTGTGGTGTTAGTGGTGATTCTGTGTGTGACAGTGAGGGGAAGCAGATATTGAGGTTAGGATTTCTCTCATAATTGTTACTTTCACTTTTAGTGGGTGTTCAAATAGTAAAACTGACTGCAACCTACAAAACCAGCCCTTAGCATTTGCTGCTAGATGTCTTTCCAAGGAGAAGGACTGCAGCCAGCCGTGTCCACTGGATGACAAGACAGCAGCATGGGCGGAGACCAGTGTTTAGTTCCAGGTCTGCCCCCTCAGCAACTGAGTCCTGGGCAGCTGTGTGATTACGGTTGGGCCCTTGTTTTCTCATCTCCAAATAATAAGTTTGAACCAGATAATTTCAAAACAACTTTCTGACTTTGGGGCTTTGTGACTAATTGTTGAGACTCATGACAGTGAATTTCTTGTTTTGTGCCTAGTTATCCCCACAGTGAGTGGTTCTCATGAAGATGAGAACATCTGAATACAGAGAGGTTAATTTTTGGAGCAGGGGCTGAAGTCCCCCAGGAGCTGCACGGTTCTTGTACCTCAGAGATCCAAGGAAAGTGATAATGACTAAACTGACTCTCCAGACGGCATTCATCTTCTAGCCTTTTAAACTATCTCTCCCATGATTATAAAAGTAATAAATATCCATTGTAGAAATTATTAAAATGTAAAAAATAAGAAAGAAGACTATCACAATTCAATCTGATTCCATCAAATATAAACAACAATCTTAGCATCTAGCATATTTCCTTTTCAGTCGCCCTTCCATGCATATTTTTTAAAAGCTAGATACATGCATTTATATGGACACAATTTAATATGTTGTTTTCATTTAACAGTGTAGCAAAAGTAGCTTCCCATATCATTAGGAATACCTCTTAATAAGCAGCATCAGTATTATGGGTTCTAAGAAATCCATGCTAAGATGAATATAATAATGGCTAGCCATTATTGAGCATGTAATATGCCAAATACTGTTCTAGGTCTTAACATTCTTAAAAATTCTTATATTAGCCCCATCAAATAGATAATATTGTTATGTGCCATTTTTTTAGAGAAAGAAGCTGAAGTTCCCAGAGGCTCAATAACTTGCCCAGCCCATGGTAGCCAGGTATTGCAGTTAAAGTTTGAATCCAGGTCTTTCTGATCTGTGCTTATACTGCCTGCATTATATTTCACAATTTTTTTTCTATTACCTGATATTTTTCCTTATTGTTTCCTAGAAATAATAAAATGTATTCAACATTTTAATGCATGTTGAATTAAACTCTAAGATAAAATTGTAGAGGTGGAGTTATTGGTTCAAAGAATATAACTATGATACACACAGTCAGAATATATTTTCTTGAAAATTTTGTATTCCATAGAAAATATATTTTTAGTGTAACATCATTATCTCACTTGACTATCTCAATTTATTTACTAATTTTAGTTTGGTTTGAAAAAATTCATAAAGAATTATTTTGTTTGCCCAGTTGTGCCAGGAATCATGTATTTTATTTTAGATGTAACAAAATATTTTTTTCCCTTTGGGTAATAAGTAACCTGACTGGCTTTGATGGACAATTCAGGGAGATTTGCAGCAATTCTTGGAAATCATATTATTTGCAGCATCAAGCTATGTTCAAAACTATATTTGTAAATGGAAGAGAGATTCATATGTATAATTTAGAGTACATTTTTGAGCTTGCCTTGACAAGTTTGATATAATGGTGCTTATTTCTTCAAAATTTGTAAAATTATTAAAGTGCTGAAATATTTGCTTTTTGTGTGAAAATGGTGGTCACCAGGCAGTTCTTTTTTGATATTTGTTTTTAATGATGGATTCCACCTTTTTTTTTTTTTTTTTTGGTTAGGTTTGCCTCTTTTGGTTCAAAGAACAATAGCAAGGACCATTGTACTTCAGGAAATAGTAGGAAAAGGAAGATTTGGAGAGGTGTGGCATGGACGATGGTGTGGGGAAGATGTGGCTGTGAAAATATTCTCCTCCAGAGATGAAAGATCTTGGTTTCGTGAGGCGGAAATTTATCAGACAGTTATGCTACGGCACGAAAACATCCTTGGTTTTATTGCTGCAGACAACAAAGGTATTTTCAATCTAATTGGGTTTAGCAAGTAAAAATATTAAATCTACTATCAGGTGGGAATAAATAATCTTTCTGTTTAAATGAAATATAGGTGAAAGTCTGGTTTATTTATTTAGGAAAATAAATCTTTCTTCTTTTTTATAAATAAATGTATATAACCATACAATATAGTAGGACAAAGGAGTGATATGCAATCGTGATGCTGCAATAGCCAGGTCAATGTTGCAAATATTTGTTGTCTGATGTTGGGGAGGAACTAACCATCCACAGCAGAAACCTCAACTGGAGCCCAGTCCTGGGGATCCCTGCCTTGCTAAGTTTCATTTCTTTTGTGTTTGCTAGCTTATGGAGGTATCTCAGAAGGTGTGAGCATTTAGGTATATAGAGCAAAGGAATATCTTTAGGAGTTATGAATAACAGTTATTTATCAACCAGGATGGAAATATTTCAATAACAGGTCTAGACATACCAGTGAATGCTAGCTGAATATTTACCTTTGCTAGGACTGTATTCTTCTGTATAAAAGACTTTGTCTTCAGGACTCAAGTTTTCAGTGAACAGTACCTGTAGGTTTGTGTTAGAATGGAGGCAAGCAAGACACGTTTAGTGAAATCTGGTAGTACTATATTGAGCATGATTTATATCTTGAAGTTTAACATTTACAAATGACAGTTTTTATTTTTTGAATTCACCCGAACAAAATATAGCATCAGTTTTCTAATATTTAAAAACAGTACTTTAAAATATTGCATATATGTGTGATTAATCAGTGGCAGGGTATAAAGTTTATGGATTACCTAGCCTGTCTTTCTTCTTTCTGCAAAGCTCTGACTCATTTAACTATTCAACAAGGGAAAATGGGAAACACAACTGAGCAAAACTTGATTCAGTTCATGTTTAAGTTATAACTCTAATGAGTAGTACTCATGAAGGCTTTTGACTCACAGTTATAATCACATAAAAAAAGGGTTAAAACAAATTATCTCTGGATGTCAGGCATCCACCATTGCCTGTGAACATTAAAAACCTATGATTATTTTGACCTAATATAAACCTGATCATGAAAGTATTCTTTTAATTACATATCAAAAGAGAGGCTTAGCATTTATTGTGTATTTTGGCTAAAATTAGTTTGCAGATGATTTGTCTTCTGATTTGCTAGGGAGAGACAGAAAAGCCAAGATGAGATTAAAAAAAAGTTCTTTTCAAGTTCTTAACTACATATACTTTGAAATTATATCCAGGTTTTTTAAAATGAAACATTTCTTGTTCATCTATTAAGAACACTTTTCTCTCACTTGAGTTGAACTGTTGGTTAGATGAATTAGAGTGGTATCCGTTCAGTAGTGACTGTAGTTATATGGTTCATTTTGAATTTTAATCATGATGTTTACTGGATTATGAAATAATATGCACAAGAGAGATCATCCTTATTTTCTTATTTATCTGGTCTGTCATACCTTTCTTGTTAATCACTTTGTACCCAATACCTAATATCACTTTAATCTTTATAAATTCCTTTAGCTTTGCTACATTTTACAGTTTCATTCACTTTTTAGTCAAGTGTCTGGCAAAGTCATTGAGGTAAGAAGGAGAGTGTGAGTAAGGGTGATTTTGTATGTGGCCAGTTCATTAGTGAGCTTTATCATGTAACATTGAATTTTTGTGTTCTTAGGAAATTTATTACTATCTGGGCTTGAAAATGAAATATTTTGGGAAAAAAAGCAGCTTCTGTATGTAAAGCACCAAGCAAGAGAGGTTCTTAGCAAGTGTTCATTATAGATTCCTGAGTGTCAGAACTGGTCAGGATTGCCTAAGTTATTACAGACACTATTTAAAAAGTAAAGCTAATTCAAGGAACTCTAATACTTAAGGAAACGTTAGGTTAGTTTCTCATATGCTATAAGTCTTTTTAAAATAACCAGTACTAGCTTTTGCTTAAATGAAGTCAATTATTTTAAAATGCCTTGAAATTGCATTTACATAGGCTTTTGGGGAAAGCCATCAACTTCATATTTTGAAAGGTAAATAACATGGACAGTCTTAAAATGTTAGAGCTTTTATGATAGCAGTAATACTTTGTGTAAATTTGTTGTAATTCTGATCTTTATTGTTACAATATTTCTTAAAAGCTCTGAGTAACTTATAAACACAACACAGAGCCTAAATGTTCCTCTCAATGGTCTCTGCTGTGATGTGGTTATTGTTGCCTGCAGGTTTTGATCAGAGGGAATAATAAAGGAGTTGTTCAGTTGTTAGATTCACTGTGTCACAACTTCCTGTTTCTATGGTGGGTCTGATATCAGCATCTTCAGTAATTTATTGAGAAACTTTAGTAACTTGGACTACGAGCAGCCCTACTGAAAGGAATTAGCTTTGCTTTGTTAACAATTTTAAATACTGACATTTGGTAGAGGGTTTTGTCTTCTTTCTTGATATATATTTACAGCAACAAATTGTGTCTTCTTGTTAGATAATGGAACGTGGACTCAACTTTGGCTTGTATCTGAGTATCATGAACAGGGCTCCTTATATGACTATTTGAATAGAAACATAGTAACAGTGGCTGGAATGATCAAGCTGGCCCTTTCAATAGCTAGTGGTCTGGCCCACCTTCATATGGAGATTGTTGGTACACAAGGTATGTATTTCCTTTCAAATTTTTTTCTGTCCTTGAATATGAGGATAGACAGCTAAGTTGTATGTTGTATTTTAGTATTTAGTTTAGAAAGTCATTCATCTAAACAGGCAATGTTCTCAAATTTGGACTCATGATCTCTTCATGCTCTTAAAATTATTGAAAACCCCCAAATTTTTTGTATTTAAGTTATATGTATTAATATTATCATAATAAAAATTAAAAATGAGAAATTCAAACATTTATTTGCTCAAAGTAGCAGTTATTAATCAATTAAATGTTGACATAAATAACAGTTTTTAAATGTTACATCATTTTTTCTAATGCAAAAAACTAGTGAAAATAATGGTTTTACATATTTGCAAATCTCCTCAATGTCTAGATTTTTATAGCTGTTCTTTGTTAAAGTCTGTCCTCATGTGTTATTTTGTCAGAGTGAAGAGATATGTAGTTAGAAAAGAGTCTCAAGTACCTCCAGGGATCTTTGGGTTACCTTTGGGAACAGTTGGTATAGAATAAAGCTTAAATTTGTTTTTTAAGAAAATATTTTCCATGTTCTTATGTTCACACAGTAATAGTAATTCTTCCCCAATTTTTTCAAAAAATATTAGTGCCTACAATGTCACTTAGTGTTCTAAGTAATGAAGCCTGGTGATGAACATGACAAAGCCACTGCCCTCATTCAGCTCACAGTTCAGGTGAGAACTGTCTGAGAGAGACAGACGCTAAGCATACACATAAACAGACAGGATAATTCAGGTACTAAGATCTAGGAAGGAAGCAAAATGGGGTGCTCTGATGAAGAAGAACTTGGAGTGCAGAATGGGTGGCCAAGGAAGACCTATCTGAGGAGGCAATATTTGAGTTAAGTCTTCAAAATAATTCTTCTTGGAGGGACTCAGTTTTCAGTAAAGAAAAAAATGAATATGCTTTTCTTATGCTTCCTAGGTAAACCTGCTATTGCGCATCGAGATATAAAATCAAAGAATATCTTAGTGAAAAAAAGTGAGACTTGTGCCATAGCAGACTTAGGGTTGGCTGTGAAGCATGATTCAATACTGAACACTTTAGACATACCCCAGAATCCAAAAGTGGGAACCAAGAGGTAAGATGATTTCCAAAGCATACTAAGACTTATGATTGATCAAAACAAAACAAAACAAAACAAACAAACAAACAAAAAACCAAACCTGAAAGCCTACAAAAAACCTGAAAACTTAAAATACATGTATAGAAGGCACAAAAACTGCTGGGGAAACATTAGGCCCAAGAAAGTAAGCTGAGTCATTGAGAAGTCAGAGAAAACACAAGTTGGCTTTTTTGGCTATATCGACAATAGCCATTTGGGTGCAGTCAGCCAGTGAAGAGAAATGGTGAAAGACATACAGGTATATTATTTTTCATGTTTCACCTTCCAAGGATGTGTTTTCCTACAGATAAGAAAACAGTGCCCCTTAACAACGTGCAAGGTCCCTCCAAAGCTTTATCCTTCATAAATAAACCAAAATTCAAGGCTAGTTCTACCTGTTCAGGTTCTAAAAAGCAGATAGAAAATCAATATATTGAAACATAGGTAGGAACTCTATATAGTGCATAATTTTATGTGCTATTTTATTCCCTTAATATTTAAAGATACTATGTAACAATTTATGTATTGCCTATAGGGTACTTACCCTTAATTCTCCCAAAGTGATGTGTGTTAAGATAATAAGCTTGGAAAAACTTCCCACTTTTAAGGGACAGAGTCCCTGAAATTAAGAACAAACATTTTGTAAATGTGTGAAATACCTCCTATGGATTAGGACAGGCTCAAGAGTAATGGGATTTCCGGTGGTTTTCTTGCTATGGCCAGCAGGTGGCTATGTGGCCAGACTACTTCCATTTCCTTTATGAGTATCAGGCCTTATGCTACTTTGACATAATTTCAGGGTTCTTGAACTTGAAAACAGCAACAATCAAGATATATTCCTGGAGTTGTTCAAGGCCCTTCAGAGTTGAGGATTCCTAAACTGGTATAACTGGCCTCTTAGCCATATTTGAGATTTCAGGGTGGCACCTGTGAGTCCTTCCCTTGGTTTCCTGGGATGCTTTAATAAGGTTGCGGGAACACTTCAGTGCACTTTATTCAGAGCAGCCCTAAGGGACCTCTTTTCTTTTCCCCATAAAAAGAAAGCCTTAACTTTCTCATTAGACTGCCCTCACAATAGGGACCTAAGGAGAAGCTTGGATGGTGGATTCCTTCAGGGGAATCTAACTTTTTTTTTTTTAATTTCCTTTGCAATTTGGCTTATTAGTGGGAATTTCTTTCTTTTCTTTTCTTCTACTCCTCTAGTACTATTACTACTACTACTACTTCTTCTTCTTCTTCTCCTTCTCCTTCTCCTTCTTAATGCAAGTCTAGAGAATGTTAACAAACTTCACTGCACTTTTCTTTTTTTTTGATTGTTGGTTGTTCAAAACATTACATAGTTCTTGATATATCATCTTTCACACTTTGCTTCAAGTGGGTTATGAACTCCCATTTTTAGCCCATATACAGATTGCAGAATCACATCAATTACACATCCATTGATTTACATATTGCCATACTAGTGACTGTCATGTTCTGCTACCTTTCCTATCCTCTACTTTAAAAGAGCTAGGAGGTGTTGTATCCTGACTTCAATGTTCTGGGAAATCTCCAAAATGTCCCTAAGACAACCAGACTTAGGTCCCATGGACTAGTGATTGCTTCCATTCAGTCCTGTTTATAGAAGGCTACAGTTTTCTGGGCACAATATAGTGAAATTGTTCATTCAGAGAGGTGTCTGTGGCATGCTGCTTGGCTCTGTATGGAAGGCTTGGGCTCAGAGTGATGGTAAAACACTCTCTGCCCTCTGAGAGCTGCCCGAGGCAGCAAGCCATTGGTGGAGACTGAGCCCTATCTCTCTTGCTCACAGAATTTCCCTGAAACTTGTATTTTCCAGGTACTAGATACCTGGCACAGTTGCAATAAGACCAAATTAAATGACCTCCAGTTCTATTCAAAGTGTTTTTTAATTGTTGGCTAAGCTAATAACTGTATTATTTACATTTATCCTATGTAGTACCTCAGATCTACCTTTAACATTGATGTAAGCTATCTTAATTTATATTGTGTATCAGGGTTTATTAAAACTGTGTTTTATTGGACCGCTACAAAGTCATACACAAAATTTGAAATGTGTATGTTTTTTAAGGTATATGGCTCCAGAAATGCTTGATGATACAATGAATGTGAGTATCTTCGAGTCCTTCAAAAGAGCTGACATCTACTCGGTTGGTCTAGTTTACTGGGAAATAGCCCGAAGGTGTTCAGTTGGAGGTAAGATATCGATAATATTCTCTATGTTTGCCAATCCCCAATACTCTGAGTATAAGGTGTGACTTCCTAAGCACTATATTGAGTCATTTCTAAATAATTAAGAGAATAACATCTGGTGATTCCTTTCCAGTAAGAAAAATGAAGCACGTTGAATATAATACTTTACATTGTAAGTCCTTCTTACGATGAAAACAGTTCTGATAACTCTGATTTCTATAATGATTTCTATAATGATGCTTTGCAAGACAGTTGAAAGTTATATAGTTTTGTGTGTAGTGAGTTGCTATCTTTACTTTATGTATCAAGGAGGTTAAATGACTTGACATTAGACTTTTCTTGTTCTCTGTTTCCTCTGATACAAAGAATGTAGCAAGGTGAAGATAAAGGTGGGAGGTAGAGAAAGACAAACTTCCTGCCTCTACTGTTCTCAAGAGTTTAGAAATTAATAATGAGAGGAAGAAATTGTGTGTATGAAGCCCTACAAGTGCAGTCTGATGGAATTATTTTATCAGTGGAGAAAAATTAAATGCTTATAGCAATGGTTTAGAGTTTTCACTTTCATGTGAGACAGACATAGCATAAGCCTTGGTTTAGCAACTCCCTGAATGTCAGACTAGCAAGTTTGTTAGTCTCACTTTCCTCATCTATAAAATGAGAAGAATGAAAGTGACCCTTGGGCTTTGAGGACTTAATGAACTGATTCATGTGCAAGCTTCTTGTATGTAACCTAGTTATAGTAAAATTTCAATAAAAACTGTCATTATTAAACTACATTCATTTTTTTGCATGTTGTGTTGATGTCATTTTGTATTATATCAATCTCATTTTTAAAATAAGATTTATGAAAATCTTCTAAGGTTAAAATTATATTTAAATGAGAAAACACACTTTTTTTATTCATAGATGAGATAGTAAAATATTCAGGAGTATGAAACTATTTATAGAAAGAGTAGAATTACAGTGGTGCAGAACATAAAAACCTAATTTGAATTAAAAAATTCCACATCTGTTGCTTGCTATCCCTGTGTGTTCTTGAACAAACCCACAATACCTTGCCACAGTTTCTTCTTCTGTAGACTAGCAGTGATACAGTATGCTTTTTAGTTAGTAGTTTTGAGGGATACATTAAAATATATAAAGTGGTTAAGACAATGCTTGGTACATATCAAGATATCTTGGATATTCATTATTTTTATGAAATTTTCATATTTTTGAGATTTGATTTTATGGTTTTGTCATTAAATATTTTAAATAATAGAACTATAGTTAATTTAAGACTTTATGAGAGTAATATTCTGATAATTAAGGTCACCTTTGTCTTTGGATTTGAGACTTGTAAACATCATCCTTCATGTGGACATATCCATATTCAACTTCTTCTGGTTGCTTCTCCAGAACATTCTTAGATATAGTAGTTTAAAATATAAATGTGAGGGGTTCACCTTTAAAAGATTGTCTAAAAATTTTTAAAGAAAGAAAACTTTCTTTGAAAAAAAATCATTTGATAGAAAAATATACTTTATTCACAGAGCAATAAGATGTGTTATAAAATTTCATGATTAGGATAAATAATGTATTATTTTTGAATTGCATAATGACATTTTATAGAAATAAAAAACAATATAATTATTACATAATATTTTATGTATGACATATAGCATTTAATTACATAAATTTTTATGTTTTCATAATATAAAATTCTGTAACTTCACATAGCTATTCAACTGAGTACTTTAAACTTAATCCTTGGTTTAATCATGCTATATTATTCTACATTATTTTAATAAATCTGACTTTCCAGCTTCCGAGGGTGTTACTTATGCCTATAAGACCTAAATGATATTAATGTTAAATAAATACTTTTATTGATTATTTAAAGGGAAATTTATTATAAAAATTTCTTGTAGGAATTGTTGAGGAGTACCAGTTGCCTTATTATGACATGGTGCCTTCAGATCCCTCGATAGAGGAAATGAGGAAGGTTGTTTGTGACCAGAAGTTCCGGCCAAGTATCCCAAACCAGTGGCAAAGCTGTGAAGTAAGGCTATGTTGCTGTTTTTTTTTTTTTTTTTGTGTGTGTGTGTGTGTGTTAGTGCTGGAGATCAAACCCCAGCTATGTTCTCAAGAATCATCTTTCTAGTATTTTTCTTTTCTGGAAAGTATTAGAGAATTTTTAGAGACCATATCGTTTTTCTTTCTTAACACAGGCATCTAGTTCATTTCATATATGTAGGTACATATCTTTTTATATCTCAGAGGATTTTCATGTGTCCATGACAAACAAATCCCGAAGTCCTGGGGCTTTATACTACAAGGCTTCATGTCTTGGTCCACACACATCTGTCTATAACACCTGTTGTCACTAAGGTGGCTGTGTAGTCCTGGTGATTGATCCTTGTATGCTGCCATCTCAGTGCATACTTTCCAGGTCTCTAGGTCAGTAGCAAAAAAGATGGATGAGCACACACTGGCTCTTTAATGCTTTGGCACCTATAATTTCCACCTGTTGATGATACAAGAACAAGTCCCATGGTCCCACCTAAGCAAGAAGGTTAGGAACTGAGGGGAACGTGGGCAAATTCAATTGGTCCTCAATGTCTTTAGCACATAGAAAACTACAGTTCTCATCATTCATCTTTATGATTGATAAATTATTTCTAATACCTATGCTGCTGAAGTTTGAATTTACAGTAATCTTCCTCATGGGAAAACATCCTTATGGATGAGGCCATTGTTATTTATCCTGTCACTCCAAGCATCCCAATATTGGAACCTTACAAAGCAGATACAATAAATGGTGATTGCAGTGCTTTCTCTGACTTAACAGGAAGATAAAGATGTTTCCAGCTTCTACAGGGAAAAAGAAGGGAAGGTGGAAAAACTATAAGCCATCTAAATAGTTCCAAAGCTATTCTAAGGCTCTGATCTCCCCTATTCCATTTGCTGCTATTTGTACCACATTTAAGTATAACGACCAAGGTCCTTTTTGGCTGACATATTTTAGCTTGTCTTTGTTATAGAGATTGCTTTACGCAGTTGCATTTTTGCCTCATGTTTTTTTTTTTTCTTTTTCATGTACCTCCACTCTTTTTAACTAAGATAAGTCTTGGTATTTTTATGTTTTGTGTAGTTTTCTTACCTACATACTTAAATATTTTATTTGCTCTTGTAGTTGGACATTTATTTATGTATTTTTGTATGGTGCTGAGGATTGAACCCAGTGCCTTGCATGTGCTAGGTGAGCACTCTACCACTGAGCCACAACCCCAGATCCTCTACTTACTTATTTGATAAACATTTTTTCTAATTGAAATTAAATAAAACATTGTCCAATATGAATAATCTCTTACATATTAAAGACTACAAATCTGTATTGTTGGAAATCTCATGATTAAATGAAAATTAGTGAATACCAAGTTTGAAGACTCAAACATTTCCAATACTTTGAAGATGTTTTTGCCCTGCTGAGGGGTTGCTATTGTAATTATTTCTTTTTTTTTTAAGAGAGAGAGAGAGAGAGAGAGAGAGAGAGAGAGAATTTTTTAATATTTATTTTTTAGTTCTCGGCGGACACAACATCTTTGTTTGTATGTGGTGCTGAGGATCGAACCTGGGCCGCACGCATGCCAGGCGAGCGCGCTACCACTTGAGCCACATCCACAGCCCTGTAATTATTTCTTTATCATTGGTTTTCTTTTCTTTACAATTTGTCACATATATATTTATGTATACACATATATCCTAAAAGTCATATTATTTGTTTTATATATTGATAAAATATGATTAAAACTTACAGTAAGTATTCTTTTCAAAAAATTTCAGTATTATGTGTGTATGTATATATATGTATATATATTATATATAATAAAATCTGATCATTTTCATTGCTGTGTAACATTCCATTGTATGAAATGAACAGAATTTTTTATTCATGTACTATTGATTATATTGCACATGTAATTCATATTTAGTTTTAAACAAATGATGCTGCAATACATAGTGAGGAAAAGTTTTTGGGGGAGTACAAAACTAGTTGTTCTTTTGAGGTGTCCATATAGACCGTCAAAGCTCCAAATAATGGGAATTCTGAGACCAGTTTTTCTGCTTTTTCTTTTTTATTGCAATTTTTGGGATCTCTAGTATACCATCACTTGAAAGTGAAGACAGTGGGTATTCTTGTTTGCTTCTTAAAACTTTTTGTTTTTCACCCTTGACTATGATACCTACGATATTGCTTTTTGTTAAAAATAAGGTTTAATAAAAGCTGACATTGGTTTCACTGTTCCCTGTCTGTGAGGTAATGATATGGCACTTCTGCTTTTGTCTTTTGTAATGGTGCTTTTTGTTGTGGATGTCATGGTTTTTGTTTGTTTTGTATTGTTTTGTTGCAGTACTAAGGATTGAACTCAAGGTCTTGTGCATGTTGGGCAAGTGCCAATCATGTATTATTGAAATGGATTCAACATAGTTATTTTATATGTGATCAAATTTGAATATCAGTTCTACATGCAAATTTTATGTTAATTCTGTGTCTCAGATATTGATTTTTTAACCATGGTTTATTTATTACTATTTTTTTGCTTCAACATTTCCTTCTAGCCTCTCAGAACTTCCTTCTTAAGTAATTTTCTTATTTCCTGATATGCATCCTTTAAAAGTTTGTTTGTTTGTTTGTTCATTATAAGCCTACTTGTTTTAAGAATATTTAGTTTGGGTTGACCAAAATGTGTATTTTGTCCTTAGTCTTGAAATAGTTTATCTAGTCATACAAATTGAGATTAATACTAATTTTCTCTAAGCACCTTCAAGTTATTATTCCACTGTCATTTGGCTTCCATTATTGTTGTTGAGAGGTCAGCAAATACCAAAATCATGTGTCATTTGACTTAATTTATCTTTTTTTTCTGATAATTTTTTAAAGAACTTCACTGCCTCTTCAGTGTTCTTTAAATTCTTTATGATGTAGCTTGGTTAATCTTGCTTGGAATTTTTGTCCTTTCTAATTTGAAAGATTTGTAACATTCCTCAGTCTGGAAGAATTTAATAGATCATTTTAAGGTATTATCTCTTCAAATAGTTGTTCTTTTATTCTCATTGTCTCTATTACTCATTTTTTTTGAAAAAATAATTGGAAGCATATTAAACTTTTTTCCTACTTTTAAAAAATGTTCTCTTATTTTTTATATATGTATTTTTATGCTGTATCTCTCAGACTGTCTTCCAGCTCATTAATTCTGTCTTCAGAATTCTGAAGTTTTTCTATTCTGCCATCTAATTCATTCATTGAGTTCTTTATTTTGATTGTTATATTTTTCATATTGAGACTTTTTTTGGTACTTGAAAAATGTTCATTTTACTCATGTTTTGAATTTTCTTTCTTTTCAAAGCATATTTTGTATACTTGACATCATTTAATTCTAACATCTGATATTTTTACGGATCCAATGCTGCTGGTATTGCTCCAGTTCACTCTTATTTATGGTACCTTGTTTTCTCCTATTTTTGTGGATTTTCATTGTGAGCTCAGGTTTACTACAATGTTTAGAAGTATGGGCTTGATTTTTTTCTTCATCAAAGCCAAGACGTAAGCAATTTCATTTATAAGCTTCCTTTCTGGGACAAATGCATCATTAAATTTAGGGTTTGTAAGCATTTTGACACTTTCTGCATGCTTCAGGCTGGGTTTCTTGTCTTTCACATAAAGTTGTACAGCCTGAGATGGGCCGAAGCCACCAAAGCAGCCACCTGCTTCAGTGATCCCTCTTGCTCTGGTTTCATGCCTTCTCATTGTTTTACCCTCTGAGTGCTTGTCTTCTTTCTTTGACAGGGATTTATACCAATTTTCAAATATTTTTAAATTTGTGTTAGAATTATTATTTTTAATATGGTATAATTTACATATGGTAAAAAGCACAAATTTTAGCATATAGCCTGATGAAATTTTTCATACATACTTAACTCTTGGATCAAGAAAAGGAATTTCCAGGGTTGGGGTTGTGGCTTAGTGGTGGAGTGCTCACATAGCATATGTGAGGCACTGGATTTGATTCTCAGCACCACATTTAAAAAAAATATGTAAATAAAATAAATATATTGTGTCTAATATTTAAAAAGAAAGAAAGAAAGAAAAGGAAATTCCAACCCTTTTCATGTCCCTTACAGTCTTTTAGGTTCCTCTTAGAAGATTCTGCCACATTCCCATAAATCAATTAAGTTAATTTCTACCAGGTTAATATTTGTGTTTTGATAATATTTTGAAGAAGTTTGGCTCTGATCTCCTTCTTGTATTGTTGTAAGCTTAGCATTAATTCCTGGGTTTGTGATTTTGCTTCTTTTGCACTGTTTTGGTAAGTAGCTGAAGTCTTTGACATTTTTTTTTTAAATCTCTTGCAGGCACTCCGAGTCATGGGAAGAATAATGCGGGAGTGTTGGTATGCCAATGGGGCAGCCCGCCTAACTGCCCTTCGAATTAAGAAGACTATTTCTCAACTTTGTGTCAAAGAAGACTGCAAAGCCTAAAGATGATAATTGTGTCAAAAGGAAATAGCTTTCTTTCTTTTCCAGTTTTCCTTTGTATGTGAATTTTTTTTTCATTTTTGGTTCTACCTCAAAGATGATGCAGTACAGTATTTAAATGCCCAAAGGCAGCAGGAAAGGATAACTCTAAAGTTAAGCATGAGCAAGAGTTGACTTTATCCACTCTCCATGTTGTCTTTAATTTTATTTTAAAAAGCAACACATCAACTTATCTTTTTATTTAATGAGAAAGATATTATAAAAGTGTAAAATAAGCTATATAACAGTAATAAATATCATTAAGATTTTTGTTTTACTTGAACCAAGAGCATGTGAATGACTAGAAAAAAATGTAAAGTCACATTTTTTTTCCTGCAATGAAAACTTATTAAAAATGTGAACTTGAGCATGTTATAGTGAAACAGAACTTTAGATCATGCAATCTATAGTTTTCCCTTTTTAAATTATTAGAATGCTTTCTAAAAATAAATAATGCTCTTATTTTTAATATATAAAACTTGCAAATACAGATCTTCTGGTGGAATATGTAAGTGAGGTCAGAGTCCCATTCACATGATCTCTCCTCCTTATTCCCCTCCTTCCTACTCTTCATAATTCACTACTACAGCAGCCCCTAAGCAAATAGGTTGACATATTAAAACACTGAGAAATGTTCCAAAGCCAGACACTGAGGCAGTAGGTCCAAATCTTGTGACAGTCAACACAGGAGAGGTAGGGTGCATCCTACATTTCCTTGAATTTCTGTAGTGCTTTTCTCCCTATGCAAAAACATTATTCATTGTGATATTTGAGTTCAGTCATAGAGAAAGTGTGTTGAGTTATTTTTCAGAATTATAATGGACCTGCAGGAAATCTTAGACCCATGTTTATTAACATTTTCCTAAGAAAAATTATAGTTACCCTGCTTGTTAATGATTACTAGTGTTTTCCAGACACTTCAAAAGATAACTAAACAAGTATCCATTGTCTGAAGATGACTTAAGATACAATTCAATGGTTCTTATTATTTTTATACATACTTATTTTGGAAGAAAAGGACAGAAAAAGAAGAGTAAATAAGGAAACATACTGAAAGAAATTTAGAAAAAAATTTCAAAAAGTATAACAATTAAACCCTACAGAAAGTATTAGCAGAAGTAAATGTATATTTACCTACCTTGTCAAAATGGACAGGTGAGTGCAGAAGAATGCTCATCAGAGTGTTGCCTTCGTTTTTCTTTCTGTGGAGACAGAATAATAAGTATTTAATAGGATGCTACATAGTTCCTTCAAATCTATACATCTTCTTTGATGAAGGAGATGTAATGTGGTATATTTTTTGTTCCAAAACATTGCTTCCTAAGCTCTGTTTCTTAGAACATTCTTCTGCTAAGATGATCCAAGAACAAAAGTGTTCTTTGATAGCTTCTTAGAGAGTGATACTGAACATTAGCATATCATGTACTTTGAAGAGTCTATCAGTAAAGACATGTTCCTTGAATTTTTCTTAGAAACTGGATTTGTCATTTTATTTGACCACAATGGAAACATTTTATTAAGAGCAGGGGAAACTTTTTACTATTTTGTAGATGTTGTACAGAGCACAACTTGGGTAACAGTGTTCTGAAGGACATGCAGCTATATTTTCCCATAGAACACAATTTAGTTCCCATAGAACACAATTTAGTTCACTATGGAAATATGTTCCTAAATCCATCTTCATTTGACTCAGTTGAGATAAGAAAGACAAAAAACTGACAGCTATGGGGCTTGCATATATTTTCATTCTCATTCATGCATTCATCCATTTATTTAATAATCATGGAGCACCCCATATCTCGCTTGCCACAATATTGGGTGCAAGAGGGAATTAAACAGATAGATAGGTCCTGCCCTCAGGGATTTTAAAGTCTAATTTGGGAATGGGAAAAGGGATGTGAGTGTGTGGGGGAAGAAAGTAAATTGACAGATAAAATATAAAGTGGGATGTCTTGAGTTCTGTATGACAGTGGGTTTCTAGAATAGGTCTGAAAATCGCTTTCAATTTGCTACACATTTAGAAAGTATCTTTATTTGGATATTACAGTCTAAATATATCATCAGTTTTTAAAAGTGCCTATGTGAAGGGATTTTAAAAAGAGCTTATGTGAAGGGGTAATCTTGCTTGTGCGTGTTACCTTATTTCTCATAGAATGTTTTGGTATATAGGAGAATGAAATTATTTACTATGATTGTACTATAGTCTCAAATAAGGATAATATTTCCTATCTTAGTCACATGTCTTGGGTAAACATACTTATTGAATTTTTTAAGAGAGGATATCTTAACATCTGTATTTTCTTTGTCATTATGTTTTAATATTCATTTGAGGGTATCTAAATATAATCCCACATTTTATTGATTCATCTTTCACTCTGGATTAATCTGTATGTTGGCACATTTTGACATATTTTGTTTGTTCTTGTATTGGTCAGCTATAACTCCTAACAGAATCATAGTTCAATTACAAAATGCATTTTTTAAAAGAAAGAGGCCAAGCAATAAAGTGATAAAGAAAACATTAAAAGTTGTAAAATTTTCCTTCGTTTTCAACATGATTTTATGTAGAAAATGCTCACTTATGAAAAATAGGATAAAATTTAGAGCAGAAGGCAGATTTACTGTATATATTTAATGCTGTTAAATTTTGTATATTTGTTTTTAATGGAGTCCCACTGTGTAATATTTGTTTCTTTTAAATTTTATTCTGAGCAAAAAAAAAATTATTCTTCTTATGTTAGGCTCAGAGTATCACTGTTCTTTTGCTCCTTTCAGATATTTTGACTTTGGGATATAATACAAACCTTAGGGAAATGCTATTATGAATTTTCAGTACTGTACAAAGAGGTGATGTGACTTCTATGCAGCATCACTTCCCGAAAATAAGAGAAACATTATTTGTTGTCAATATTTAAGCATGGACTTGCTGCTTGTAAGTTATGCGTTTAAGTTTGTAATTGGTGCAGATTCTGTTGTATGCATTCTTCTGTGTCTAAAATATTTGGCATGTCATATCTAGAATTCTTAATTTATGTTCTGACTTGAGAGTTAAGTGAAACATGACTGTCGTGCACTATTTTAGGCATAGCACTTGCTTTTCATCTTTATACTTTCAATTAACTTTGCATTTTAAATTTCCATGATTGTATGAAAATAGTAACCTGGTTGCAGTGTCTGAAGAATTCAAAATCAGCTTTTATTTTAAAATGAAAATCTACAACAGATTCACTAGAAGTTCCACAACAATTTATTATTTATAATACTTCTACTATTGTAGAATTATTAGACAAAGAAAACAAAGCTGCTTTTACTATCCTGGCATTTTGCTGTCATGTGACTTACTGGGACAGAACAAGCTCAGGGCTATCTTGGAGTTGATGCAAAAATACCAGGGAACTTAAGAGCCAGTCAATGGAAAGCAGGGAGCTGATGTTCACCATCACACAAAGTTCAAGTGAACAACTTAGTTGTTTGTCAGAGAATAGCTTTTTGATTGATTATCTAAAGCAAATGTGAAAATAGATTTCATTATTCAATGTGTTTAAAATGCAGGCATTTTATTTTCCCATCAAGAAATTAAATAATGGTAGCAAACAAATAAAATTTGGCCATTGGTGTCTTCAATAATTTTTTCTTTTAAATAAACTCACAAATAGAACCTCATAAGCTACTTAGGAATGTTTCATCTTAGTATCTTAAAATGGTGTCATTGTGTGTTTTGGAGATGTTCTAAGAATCTTTTGTGAAACAGGACACTTGCACGTTTGACAATACTTTGTTTTGGCTCAGTATGTTAATACCTTCTTGGATTTTATTCACTATTTCAGTGAACACAGTAATCCCTTTGATTGAGAGTTTCATTGAGAGGGCCTCTTCTGAACAGGAAAAAAATAATCCAGCTAGAATAAAAATTTTAGTCAAAATTTTAATAATAAGCAGAATGTCTATAATGGGCAATTTTTCAAAACAATTTAATGCAAATATTTGATTTTCTTTTTTCCAACTAGCTTTTAAAATGTTTTTCCTCACTTCATTTTAAATATTCCCTCACTGTATTCCAAAATTATCAATAGTTCCTATATTTAAAGCATAACTACTATTTAACAATAATTCTCGAATTTTAGCCTTTTCACAAAAAGGAATCCCTTTGTGGTCTAAATTGTTTCAGATATGTCACGGCCAAAAGTGAATTTGGAATTGAAAAAGAATCTAAGAGATTTCATAATTTGATCCCAATATTTTATAGTTGAGGGGACTAAGGATCAGAGATTAAATGACTACTAGTTATTGCAGAACTCCAGTGGTGACACCTACCACTGTGCCCTACCCAACTTCTACTAATTAAAAAATGAATGAACATATATCTAAACCTACCTTGAATGTGCACTATCATAATGTGCCATTTAATGAGGATTCTTAAAAATTCCATTTCCCTTTGTATTTCTATTAAAATAATTTGCTCAGGGTGAGATTAGTGACAAAAACCAAAATAGGCAAAGGAAGAGCTATAAAATTGTTGCCAGGCCAGGTAGGCAATTACTGGGCTGATAAAATTAATGAACACAATTTAAGAATGGCAACAGTATAGATGTTCTTAGTGCAAGTGGTGATCAGAGAGGTGTCCTGTCCCCTGCCTCACTTTGTGTCAGGATTTCTCTCTCTCTTTATGCATTGCAATGAGGTGAAAGATGATTTGATAGATCAAATGATTTGCGTCTATGTGTATTGGCAAATTATCTGACTTCTCTTTTTTTCTTCTTGGTTTTTTATTAGTTTCATATTTGTCCTTTAAAAAAAGGACACAGTGCATTAAAAAAAAATCTGCTGGATTTCATCTACCCTAAATCACTTCATAATTCCAGTCCTTTTTTAGTTGTGTTCTAGCCCCGTCCACAGTTACATGCTGAACTTAACAAGATTTTAATTTTCGCACCCGTGTATGAGAGGTTTCACCTCATAACTTTACCAGTTATTATTCTCTTGGCACTATAAAGAGGATTTTGTTAATGACAGAGATGACTTTCCTTTACATTTTAAAAAAGATTGCCTAGTTATAGTCCAGCCTTTAAGCTAACACAAAGGACCCCTACATTTGCTTTAATGCTAAATTCCAGTGGAGGCAGTGACTTGAAAAGAGAACATGAAATATATGTCCCATAATGTGATTGCTGAATTTATTTCTGTTGTGTTTAATAGCATTGCTTTGTTTTTCTTTTGCCATCTTTTAAAACTAAGCCATTATGCTGTATAGTTTAGAAGATAATATTATATTTAAAATAGGTATTGGTACCCTTTTAAAAATGCACCTACTAAGAACTGCCAGAACATCCATTTCAGTTGTAGGCAAATACAACATTTGAGAGAATGTGATTTCTATCTCTTCCTAATTTAATATTGCCAAATATGACCATATTTTCTCATTATTTGTCCATATCAGACTACAAGGTTTCTCCACAGATCTGAAAGTTTTTCCCTGGGCTATATGCATTTGATTGTTAATAATTAGGCCACAAAGAATCTGAGTGAAGGATGAAGTTAGCCTCTGCCCTCTGTCTCCACATCCCATTGTGCATGTTGGGATCCTCACAAATACTTCCAGCTGAGAGGCAAGTGGGAACTAAAATTAGACTTTTCAACCCACAGAAAATGTAATTATTTTCAGAAAAGCATCTTAATGTACTAACATATCTTCAGAAAGTGGACCTGCTTATACATTTTTAGACATGAGGACTTAAAACTTCAAAATGTTTCTTGACATCTGTAAACTGAACAGAGAACTTACAAGATTAATTCATTGGCTCTTCATTGTATGTTTTTACTGTTTATTTAATTTTCTATAGCCAAGTGCATAGATCCTGTTTTGATATCTCTATTGAGTTTTCCTTTCATACATGAACCTATTCAATGAATTTGCCTAAAAGACAGAACTGCGTGTCTAAATTCTGACTAAAAAAATCAAGCATAGAATAACATTAACCAATATTTCCATTTTTTCCATAGTATAAGTAATGTATCTAAGCAATTTTAAAGATCCAGCGCCATTCTTTATATAAAATAAGGATCTCTGAGCTAAAATATTAAATTTTAGTTCACTTCCACAATGACTGATGTCAAACTCATGTACTCTTGTGATCCTAGACTGGATAGGATAATTCCAAATTGGTCTGTATTTCACGTTTTTAAAATGCCCTAAAAACAGAAAATGAGATTCAGATCTCAAAAAGGGAATTTTGGATTGACTTTCAAAGTACTAATGCTGATTATACTTTTCTTTTGGTAGCGTGACTCTTCTTATACCTAAGAACATATTACAAATGTCAAAACCATTGCATTTTGACATTGCAAAACATGCCTTGAACTCTTGAACTACTGTGAAAAGAATCACTGTTGTAAAGACTTTTTGTAAGCTAGCTGATATTCTTAAGTATGTAAAAAAGATACTGCCTTTTGAAAAAGAGGCCCAAATGGATGTATATAAGGAGTATGAAAAATAAATTGGGTTTCAAAATGAGAACTGTACTACAAATTGTATCAAAAAAATGTACAGTTGGGAATTTTAGTACATAGTTGCAATTAAATTGTTGAAGGTAAAGAGAATTCCAAATTTCAAAGAGAAATGAATGGGATTCACATGTTTCATTAATTTCTAGTAATATTACTTATTTTATTTAGAAATCATAGTATTTTAGAGTTTAGTAAGAACTCAGTGATAGGCTTCATACCAAAATGTTTAACTTTACCAACAGCAAGTCATAAAAGTATTTATTTTAAAGCTTTTTAATATTATTGCATAACTTTCAGCTGCCTCTTGATGTAAATACTTATCTGCCTAAATGTTATATTTTTATGTAGCGTTTCTGAAAATGTATTGTTTTGTAAAGTGGCAAAAATAATAAATTAAGCACTCCTTGCACTTGTTTCTGTGAAGCACATAGAGCTCTATTTTAAATAAAAGAAAATGTGTCATATTTTGGTTTCCTTATAGTTCTATTATTTTAAAATTTCATTTTATACTTTTTGTGCAAAGTATGGAGAGATTGTTGGAAACTTAAATGCTGGCTCCAGCAGTACTGGAATTTGGTTTCCTTCCTTCCTACCTAGGGAGTTATAGAATTCTACAATTTCAGAGCTGGAAGAGACACTTAAATTTAATAGCCATTTCTCTACATGACACTTAAGACAATAGGCTTAAAATTTTTTCTTGGCATTTTTGCACTTTTTCAACATATATTGGAAGATTAGTGGATTGACTCACTCTTAAGCTGAAAATAACTTCCATCACACTTAAAATTACACAGACTCACCCATTCCACAGGTCTTTTCAAGATACCCAACTACTTCTCAGCTTTCACTTCTGGTATCTACCACCTTTATCCCCAGCTCTTCTCCAGACTCTAGTTTCTTTATGTTTCTTGAACTTGGCTGAGCACTTGCCTTTCCCAGGGACTTTGTCTTGACCATTTTCTCTGCCTGGAATGTTATTCCTCCAGATATTTTTACAGTGTACACTGTAAAATATTCTGGCAGAATACCACCCTTTCTAAGGAGGCACCTTTATTCATTTAATATACTGTCTGTTTTAGTTTTCTTCATTGTACTTAATATTAGTTGACTTCATTTTATATTCTAGATCTGAGAGCATATAGTATCATAATGGCTAAATTTTCCTTTATGATTCCAGCATTGGAATTAGAGGTCATTTCATTTGAAAATAGTTTTAAAACATTGAGTAATATACTATTTTGCACAATGAGACATACTTTTATGGAAGTTACTATTCTGAAATGTCTGTAATAAACCTTAAGATGTCTATAAAAACCCAGTCAGTAATCTGTTAGACTAATTCATGGTAGGTGTTCCAAAATGACATTATAAGAACAGGAGGTATCTGACTTACATCTCTAACCCTACAAAATTCATGTTTTCTGGGACTTACTATAAGAGAGGCAAACACTTGTGTTGTCTCAGCTGGCTTTGTTAATCAGCTACTTCTTAGGGTTGTAGAGAAAGGCATATTATTAATTTTATATCAGTATCAAGTGTGAAACAAGCATGCAATAAAGCAAATACATTAGTTTCAGCAGTATTACCACTAGCTTTACTTTTTTCATTTGTCATTTGAAATTTCAGCCTCTTTGTTTTTTAAACACTAATGTGTACAAAATTTGGGGAGTCCTCACACTGATGAAATAGTTTACTTAAAGTGTGAACTTAAAATTGGATAGTTATTTTTTTCATTTAGAATAAATTATTGGAGACTTGGGGGAGTCACTAAATGTAAGCTTATTGTGGGGCATTCTGGAAGTGAGATTTTCAAGAAATGATCCACCCACGACTCTTATATGAAATAAACATATGTTGTGGTTCAGGAGAGTTATTAAAAACTTTGACTTCAGTAGTTTCTTTAAAATCGATTTTAGAAACATTTCCCTTTACAGAGATTTTTTAAAATTCTATACCTAACCAAATTTTAATTATAATCATTTCTATAATAAAAATAGAATCATATTCTTTTCCCTTCAAATATTAGTCAACATTTTTTTTTATCAAACATTGCTGGTAAGTACATAGTAACATGATAGTCATTGCAAGAGATGTGAAAAAAAAAAACTAGTAAGCTTCTGCATTTGAGAATAACAATCTATTTAGGAAGACAAGGCATGTACATGAACAGCTATCTAACCTTGGAAGGTAGTAACACAAGAGCTGTCATAGGTAGAAAATTATTAAGGTCTCATGTGGGTAAAAATAGGAAAGGTTTGGGCTGGGGCTGTAGCTTAGCAGCAAAGAGCTTGTCTAGCATGCATAAGACACTGGGTTTGATCCTCAGCACCACATAAAAATAAACAAAGTTATTCTGTCCATCTACAACTACAATTTTTTTTAATTGGAAAGGTTCATAAAAACATGGAAATCAAGTATCAATTCAGTTGAAAGAGTCAAGAAAATTGACAAGGTGAAGCTTATAAGGATGGGGAAGATTTGTCTAAGTACAAAACAAGTGAGAGTTCCTCAGTAGGAAAAATATCCAAAACAAAGGCAGGAGTGTTCAAGGCAATGAGGAACCTGAAGATTGGAATGAAGGGTTTGGGAAAGGATTAGATCACAGCATTTAAAATTCATCTGGTCATCGAGGAACATGCTGAAGCTTTTAAGTAGCAATAATTATGTGAAATTGATATTTAATAAAGGCAGTAAAAGAATTACCTTCTTAAGAGATTTATCAAGCTAACCTGAAGATTCCACAATACTTTTCTCCATTAACTAGTAAGTGTTTAGAGACACTATGTAGGTGAAGAACTTCAAGATGAGCTCTACAATGATATGATGTGATTTATGTGATTTTTTCCCCTGAATCAATTTAATGTATTGTCAAAGCAAAGAAAAATACTATAATAAGAAAGAGAAAAAAGAAATGAAGATTTCATCTTTAATAATTTAGTGTTACTACAAATATGACCCATGGCATTTTTTAAAAGCTTCAAACACTCATACATACAGAAAAACAATCATTGAAAAAGGTCTACCTCATAATTCCATCTCTGCATGAAGAAATTTCCAGGTGCCACTGAACTGTGTGCATTAAATTTCAAATATAATCAAATCAGGTTTAGAAATACTAATGGCGATTTCATAGAAGAACACTTGCTTCAGCAACTTAGGAAATTACACTTGATTTTCTTTTGAGTGTTACTCAATTGTGCTTGAAATTGTTCATTCGAACCCTTCTAAACAAGAAGCAGGTGGTTAAATGTGGGTGCTGTTTAACATTTACACAAAACATTCCAAGCACAATGTACTTTCGCCCTTGGAAAGTCAACTGCCTCCCCACCACCACCCGCTGCCCCGCCCCCGCCCCTCTTATATCCTGTCCTTCCCTGGTCATTTGATTTGACCTTGCTACATCCCTGAAAGAATTGGCTCAAAAGTAGTTACCTGATAAGGGGCATTAGACTATTTTTATAGTCTTTCAGCTAAAGCTTTTAATGTGGCAACTGCTGGTTACTGAAGCAGTTTAAGAAAAAAGAATTGCTGAGTTTGCCTTTTATTTTTAAATGGAGAAACACAAGGTGACACAATCATATAAGATATAAGTAAACTGGAACAGGGGGGAATATAGCTGAGGTTTCTGCATAGAGTAAAAGCAAAGCTTTGCAAAACACATTTTAATTCTGTACCACAATCTGGATCTTTGCTTTTATAAAATACGTGAACTAGTTCATAAAATGTACTTTTCTCTATGTCTGCTTTCCTTTACCAGAACTACATGGGTGATATCATAAACATCCAACTGAGAATCCATCAGCATGAGGCATTTATTAAATAGTAAAAATTATAATCAGGTGGGAAGATGACATTCAGAAATGCATCCCCTGTGTTCTTCCCTTTCTGAAGCAAGCTGTTGTGGGAGCTGGGTGCATTCTCTGTCCCCACCATCTCTGCCCATTCATTTCTCTACCCACTGCAGTATTAGAACTTCTATGCTCACTCATCCTCTAAATCTGTCTTCTCTATGCTCACTGATACAGCAGCCCAGGGCAAAGAATACTCATCCTTTTCCTCCGGTCTCTCCTTTATTACAAAATGTCACCTCCCAGAGTTATTTCTTTCTTCATTTAATTCTTATGATTCTTCTTTCTGCCTTTCCTTTTTTTTTTTTTTTTGGTGTGTTCAGATATTTTCCTTTTTCTGTGTCCCTAAAATGCTAACATTTATCCAGGATTCTGACTTTGTTGCACTTCATCGTAAACACTCCTTTCTGGAGATCTCATCTATTCTTATCTTTGACAATCTTGGTGACTTCCAAGCCTACATGTTTGTTCTAGACTTCTCTTCCAAGATCCAGGCCCTAAGGTCTAGCTGCTTCCTGATGCATCCACTCAGATGTGACACTGTCACTTGAGACACAAATGTCAAAGTGTGCTTCTTTGTGCCAGACTTCTTTGGCTTAGCATGCTGTTTTTGAGATTCAACCATGTTGTTAGATATGTCAGCAGCTTGTTCTTTTATATTGCTGGGTACAATTCTATTCCACGAACACACCACACTTTGTTTATTCATTCACTTGTTGAACGTCTGGATTGCTCCCAGTTTGGAGTTATTATGAATAAATCTGTTATGAACATTCATGTATAAGATTTTAAAGAATATAAATTTTCATTTCCCTTGGATAAATATCTAGGAATGTAATTGGGTAAATCCCTACTGGTGTAAATAGAAACTATGGCCAAGGTTTCTATACCATTTTACAGAGTCTTTTTCTACCAGCATGTGAGAATAATAGTTGCTCCAGATTTTTTTCATTTTAACCTTTCCAGTGATAATGTAGTGATATCTTATTGTTAGTACAAATTGAACTTTTATGACTCATTATTATTTCAAATTGTACTAACTATATTTATATTCTTTTCCTGCAAATATTGACATCATATATTGTGAAGTACATTAGAATATTTTGTCAAAAATGAACTCATTTTCTTTCATGACAAAACTGTCTGTGGTCCCTGTTCTTCCACCTAACAACAATGTTATTGTTCCTCTCTCCAAACTCTGTCACTCCTCTCTTTATGTCATTACTCTGTAGGCTACTACTATTGTTTTAGTTTATGACCTTCCAGTCGTTTCTTTGGCATATGCCATGGGTTTTTCTTATATATTTCTCCATTTCTGCTCCTATAATTAGTGGGTATACTAAATAGTGAGCAGAATGATCTAAATTATAAGTATCCTCACATACTCTTATTTTAAGAAATCTTATTTACCAGCTTTCTGTTTACTTTAGGATGAAATTAGAATTTCATATAACTCAGTTCCCTTCTTTTGTCTTCTATAAGCTGATGTCTTATTTCTTTCTTCAATTGGTCTATCAACCACAACTACTGAGAGTGATATAAATACTACATGTTTACCTAGGATTCTGAAATTTCATGTGATTATTTTTCTGTCTCTCTGGAACTTCCTGTTTCTA